TTGACGTCTCGCACCAGGAGGAGATCGACACGTTCATGCTGAAGTTGGACGGCACCGAGAACAAGTCCAAGTTCGGCGCGAACGCCATCCTCGGCGTTTCCCTCGCCGTCGCCAAGGCCGGCGCTGCCATGAAGGTGAGCGACGCCGCGCTGCCCTGCCATTCGTCCATTGCTCCGCAGCCTATCCCCGTCGGTGCTCCTCTCGTGCGTACGCGGTGGAAACTCTGCTTGCACGCAGCGTGCGACGCCGCATGCCGCCCCGCCGTCCGTTTCCTGTGTGTGTCCGCAGGGGTCGAAATTAGCGGTATCCCGATATCCGCGGGATAGTAGATTCTTGTGTTGGATACCAGATTTCAATGCTTGGTATCCCGCCGGGATAGTGGAAAAAAAATCGGGATGTGTCAAGCGAACCAGACAATGCGTCTAGACAATACGTCTGCAGTGTACTTGTCTGTGCATATCTGTGAATATGTTTTCATGTTTTTATATAATAATTACATTACATATTAATAATTTTCAAATGCTATTATTGCATATGTCAAGAATTTGGATACCAACATTGTTGAAATTCCTATCCCAAAAATGGGATACCAGATTTCAATACCTGGTATCCCGAATGGATACCATAATAAAAATAATAGATTTCGAAATAAAAATCTAATTTCGACCCCTGGTCCGCGGCGGAAGCATCGAGCTTGTGCGTGTGGTGCACGGTCGCGACGTAGACTGGTGTAAACTGCAGCGACGCTGATGGTTAAGGGTGATGTTAGCGCGGAACGAGTCAGGGTTCTGCCCAGGATTTTTTAGTGCCGGGCGCATCCAGTTGCAAGCGCCGTAGGCGCGAAGCCAATCTAGGGGGGTTCGGGGGCATGCCCCCGCCTGAAAATTTTTGATTTTTGATAGTCTGAAACTCAATTTCCTGCATTCTGAGCAATAAAAAGCCCATATATCAGACTTTTTTTCTTTTTTTTTATATCAAAAATTAGTGCCGGGCGGAGATATATATAGTGCCGGGCGGCAACCGCGAGTGCAGGGCACACCCGCCCACCGCCGCCCACCGTGGGCAGAACCCTGCGAGTGTAAAAGCTAATGCCACTCGTGTGTAATTCGTTTGAAGCAGGGTATTAGCCAGGAATGAGTATTGTGGGAGTGCAGAAAAAATATTTGGGAGTGCATATTGGGATCTTACAAATGTACACGGCTTTAGGCCGTGCAGTTTCAAAGCTGACCGTGCAAATCACGGCTGCACGGCTCGCTGGCTAATACGTTGGTTTGAGGCGGAACAGAGGATAGCGACTCTGTGTCACCACAAGAACCTCGTCCTCCTCGATGCCCTCCTCCTCCTCCTCCTCCTCCTCCTCCTCCTCCTCGCCTCCCTCCATCACTCCCCCTCCCGCGTTACCACAACCACCTCCTCCTCGATGCCCTCCTCCTCCTCCTCCTCGCCTCTCTCCGTCACTCCCCCACCGGCGTCACCACGATCCCCTTCTCCTCCTCCTTCTCGCCTCCCTCTGTCACTCCGCATCCCGCGTCACCACAACCACCTCCTCCTCCTCGATGCCCTCCTCCCGGCACCACCCGTCCGACAGCAGATGCTCTCCGCCGCCGAGCGAGCAGGCGTGCGGCAGCGGCTCGCGTCCCGGCGGCACGAACGAGCGCATGCGCTGCCACCTGGCGGGCGGCCACACGATGTACTCTGCCTTCGCGTGGATGAGAGCGACGGCGATCGGTCCGAAGCAGTTGCTGTCGAGGCTCGCCGCGCTGTGGTCACCCTCGAGCCAGCAGTGTCCGGCGGGCACGCGCAGCTTGCGTCGCCGGTACGACAGGCTGTGCACGGTGTCGCCCCCCAGCGCGATCACGCGCTTGATCAGCTTCTGTCCCGGCTCGCGCGGCGACGCAACGGAGACGACGTCGCCGCGACGGATGCTGTCGTAGTCGCCGGTGATGCCCCAGCGCCGCAGCAGCACGTAGTCGCTGCCGATGCCGGTGGCGGAGGCCGGGTCGCTGGGAGGGTTGAGCGTGGGCTGCATCGACGACCCTTCGACCTTGGCGACGTAACCGACCTTGTCGAAGAAGGTCACGGCGACGGGGACAGTGACGACTACGCTGCCGAGCATGCGCGCGGCGAACCCACGCATGATGAAGCCTTAGGCTTCGCTCTTCCTCCCTGCAACAGAGGTCAAACCGAGGTCACGTCGACGTGTGTCGGAAACGAAATCAGTCTTGACGTTAGTTTTGGCATAAATTTTTTTTTTACGGTCGACAAAATTTGACGTCGTAAAGGTATGAGAATGTCTGCTATGATTTTTAATTTTTCGCAAAACTGCTATTTCTGTCGATGGTTTAAGAGATTAAGATAATGTTAAGACAAATGGTAATACGAATTTTGTTTCTGACAACGTGCCCTGACAAACGAGGGTTGGTGCAGGAGAGTCAAAAATGGAATGGGAACTCGAAACGGAAACAATCGGAGGTGTGACCGATTGGAGAGAGATCTGAGTTAGGTGAGCCCGTGAGAAATGCTCAGATGATTCCTAGATGATTTTCTTCTTTATCTTTACAATAACCATGCAAGAATGCAATGATCTTTACAAGAACCATCTGTGTTACATGTGCCCATCGCCCACTCGTTTGCTTCCTCGTCATGATTTACCTTCACAGTGCTTTCACATTGAAACTTGACGTTCTAGTGAAACGTCTTAGACTCGAGAAGCGAAGATGTGGAAACATGAGCCGAGAATTGTTACTCGTTTTAATGCACCTTAGACTTAGAGGGGCTGGTACTCTGTTCACCTCCAAGCTCGAACGCGTACGAAAGGAAACATTTTGAAAATCAAAAACAATTTATATCTACTCGTATCACTCTCCAGATATTTATTTACATACAATCACTATAGTACTTACAGAATCAAAAACGTATGCATCGAACCGTAGCTATCCTTACGGAAGCGTGTACGTTAGAAACGTCAGGTATAAATTCAGTGCTTCATAACAATCAACATTCGTATGCAGGATTTCTTAAAATCACTCGCGTTATATGCTCAATAGACACACTAAAATAATATACGAGATTAATTCATACCGCGTGGCTAAGGCCAAACAAAAAAATAGGTGTTTCCGGTCGACCGACCGTCCCTAAACTTTTTTTCAAAAAAAAGAAAAAACAAAATCAAAACTTGATATGAGATTTTTTACTACAAACACGTTCTGGACTTGCTTACTAACTTATCCCTACTATACACCACTTTATAGCATGCATCAGAGGGATATTAGGAACCGGAAAAAAAAGAAGAAAAAATCCCTACCTACCTACCCTACTTTTGTTTTCGATGCAATAGGAAACACACCTATTTTTTGTTTGGCCTAACCTCTACAATTCTTCACGTCTCTTGCCAAAGAGTGTTGATGATTATACAAATGTTGTGTACGCACACACACTGAATTAATAGTAATAATATCAGGAGTAAGATAATATAGGTATAGGTATAGGTATAGGTATAGGTATAGATTATCTTACTCCTGATAATATCAAGAGCATATAATATACAAGCACGTTGAGCTTACTACCATGTAAATGCACTTAATAGCAAGTAAATACCAACTGCACGCTATGCACACGTATGATTACAGTGACGCTGCCACATGGCACCACTGTTTATTCAACATTTACTGTATTTTGCAGAATGTACTCCGATGCATTTGACGTGTACACACAGAATTTAAAAGGTTAATTCCGATTTTAAAGGTCACACCGAGATTAAAAAAGTGACTAAATAATAGTTCCCTTCTCACTACCAAGTACATGCTCACCATAAATAAATCCTCACCGATGTTTTTATCTAAAAACCTCTCGAAATGATCTGTATTTTACAAGCCTGCTTTACTATCAACACTGGTTAAGTATATGCTTTAGGCTAGTCCACTGAGGTGTAGAATATATCGTACCATAGCTAAAAAAAATCTCAACTATAATAATGTGCACTTCGCCGACCTTCAACTTATAGGACGAAAGTTTGTTTTCGGAGACATATTGGAGCAAAAAAAAAAGTCCTATGAGCCACCGAATGCGATGTTTCTCACCAGGATTCGCCGAGGGCAGCGATAGCAAACTTTGTACACTATCTGGCCGACCGTTTACACAAACAGCATTCGCATTTTTACCAGGGTATGAGATCGACCTATCCAGATTCCTGTCCTATACTGTGCCAGATAACCATTACATCATCATCATCATCATCATCATCATCATCATCATCATCATCATCATCATCATCATCTTCGTTTATAGTCCATCTTTTCCCGTGCCTGGGGTTGGACTTTGCCGTGCAGATAACCATTACCCCCTTGGTAATGGTTAGAGGGTAATGGTTGCTTGGTTCGCCAGGCTAAACAAGATTACGTTTATCAGGCGTGCAAGCTAAATTGTCGACTGCGCGACACTTTGTTGCTAGGCAGCGTTTTTGTTTAGAATGCTCCTATCACTACACTGATTGGCTAGGGCTACCTAGTTGCCTTATCAGTCATAGTTGCAATTGCTGCAATTGAAATTGCATGCGGAAATTGCTGCAGTTCATAACACGAATGCAGATAACATTAGAAAGGACCCTCTTATAAAACCTTCTTACTAAATCATTAGCACGTTCCATAATTAATTCACATAATTAGCACACTTTCAAAAGGATGCGACTGACGCCGCATGCAACAATAAACCAAGTTGTGCATTTTCAACACAACCCGTGGGCATTGCATATTGCAGGAATCCAAAAGCTTTTTCTTCCCCATATATCATCATCACCCCTGGTGAGGGCCAGTACTGGGTGTGAACAGCAAGTGAGATAGGTACAGACAAATAATCATGAAAAAATCGAGAGCACAGTAGGAGCCAGTTAGACTATGATTAGCTTCACAGTGAGCATTGCTAGTAACCCGCCTGACCAAGACAACCACTCCTCCCCCAGGTCCCCCTGCTCCCACTCCTAGATATTGTCACTAGACAAGTCTAACATCGATAAGTATCTACAAGTTTTGCACGCCAAACCGTCATCCTTGTGGAACTCGATCACTCGGCAGCACTTTCGGAATACTCCTACCACAACGCCGGTTGACCAGTACTAGTCGGCAATCGCTCCGGGTTG